AATCCACATCTACGATAGAAGGTGTCTTTGCCCTTGGCTGCAAGCACGCTGGCTGCGATACCTTCTTCTCGCGCCCTGTCGACTCCCCAGGCCACCAGCTCACGACCATGACCAAGTCTCTGGTACTTTGGCCGCACAGCAAGGCAGTTCAGGGACCAGTTGGTCAGACGATGAGGAGGCGATGCATACAGGGCCCCTAGAGCCTTGATAAGTGCTTGCCGGACAGACTCTTCGGTGAGCTGAGGAGGTCTGGAAGCAGCTCGGTTGGGGGCTATCAAAGCCAGGAAAAAATTGTGATATATCGATATTAACGGTGATATCACGAGTCCTGCAAGCGGTAGAATAAGCTTCTAGTACGCTCTAGCTAGCTATTGGATCATAGCTTGATTCAAAGTCTTACTTGGATCCCATTTGCCAAGTGGCTTCCAGACGGACTCCCAGCCGGGTCCCATGCGATGCCACTGAGCAACGCCAGTTATAGTCTCTCTCGGGGGCCTGCTAGGCTCTTCTGCGCTTCTATCATCTTTTCGATCATCCAAGGATGCTTCATCCGCTTCCTCTGCCTCCTCGTCTTGTTCTATATAGCTCACGACGAAGACGTACGAGTAATTCCACCATTTCTCCCAGCACTTCCGCCGCCAATAGTTCAAATAATCGTTTGGATATTCTCGACGCAGCGGATGTAGGAGAGGGCCCATAACTTCCTCTTCATGGAAGCCCTCTGCAAGCGTCGAGGAGATTGCCTCCAGGTCTGAATACCTTGCGAGACGAATCGGCATTTTCCTGGGCGTCTCGACTTGCTAGCTTGTTAGTTACCAAAACTTACGGCTCTCTCGCAAGGCGTCCCTTAGTTATATACCTGGGTAACTGTCACGTTGGTGCTCGTATCGGAGGCAGAAGAATTTTTCGAGTCATGATTAGCCATCGGCTGGGCCGACTGGGATATTGAATAAAAATCATAATTAATTAACGACATGCAGGTTAACTGGTTAAGTGGATATTTGGATGGGGAACAAAATAACTAACTACAACTAGGACGCGAGGGAGCGGGGGTGTGAATATTGGAAGGAGAATCATTTACACGTCTAACTTCTATAGACCGACATTCCACCCGCGGAATCCTTTAGGGGGATGTTTTCTTGCCAGGGCTGCGTGGATTAGGTGTTATCAAATATTTGGGCCAAAATGGGGAAGCTCCTTGATTCGCTAACTAGTTAACTAGTTAGTTACGGAGTGAATCATTATATATCAAGGAACGCTCTGGATCTCATGTCTTGGTGATTTTTCTTGGTCTTTTCCCTTGTTTTCAGTGACAGTGGAAGGCAAATTGGAGACCCCACGAATAGAATTTCGACATGGACGGAAGTGGACAGCGTCTTATACACTGTGTAGGGAGCAAAGAAAATCAGGCCAGGTGAGCCGTTTTTTTAGACACTCTCGACTGTGATCCCGATTGTTGGGCTGAGTGGCTCGACCCATTCTAAAAGATTCGCTATTTCCTTTGAATCGTAGTTGTCCGTGATGTAACAAGGGAAAACGACCTTGTATTTCCCCGGTTCTAAAGCCGGTGGAAGACGTACGGGGTCACAAGCTATACTCTGCTTGGGGAAGAATAGCCGGACTGAGACAGAACCGTTGAGAAATCTATGAACTGGAAACTTTGCTGCTGGTGCGAGCGGTCAAGGAACCCAGCAAAGTCCACGGACTGAGCTTTCCTGCGGACGATAGCGGCAGCATCCGCTAGCTTCGCCGTGAGCGTGCGGCATGTTGCAAAATACTGTGACGTATTGAATGCTGTCTTATTATCAAACTGCTGAGCCAAAAAGGGGAGATCCCTGGCTGGCGGCAGAAAGAGTTGTTATATCACGGGCACTCACACTCACCTTCCGAAACCGTCGCCAAAACTTCAAAAGTGCCGGTAGTAGATGAAGGTAGAAGGTGTGCAGATCCAGCATGACAACTGTCAAGAATGCAGACAACGTCAAGCGGTACAGACGAAGTAAAAGATAAGTTCGAAACAGAGTCTGCAACGTAATTGAATCGGAAAAAAGTTTTGCTTTTGAGTGTGGCTTTGAATATCAGCCCCATAGTATCATCACTGACACCATGGCCGGCGTGATGTATCAGAACAAGGCACCTCTCGGGAGAGTCAGGAGAATGCAGTATTTTGGTAAATGCCCTGACGTTGAATGAGACACAGTTGTACAGCGGCTTTTATTTCATCAACACCTGTAGAATCGGCCATTCTGACATCATAACACCTATTATTGGGGGTTACAGTATGGTGGAAAGTATTCAATATATGTGTATAGTATGATGCAGGACAGATGCTGATACTATAAAAGAGAAAGTACGTGCCGGGGACAGCACCTCGGCCACAGGTATACCTGAGAAGTGGAGACAATTATTGCTGGGGAGACACAACCAAAATGCAGACGCCCTGATGGGTAAAAACCTGTAGTTGGTTAATAGGTAGATAGAAGAGCAGCGAGGACTGAGGCTTGGGTGTCAGCTTGACGGATATCTCGGTAAAACTAAGAGAGAGAGAGATAAAGAAGTGAAAACCGAGAGGAGGCGATTTTTATATTGCACAGAGTGAAGATATTGCCACTTTGGGAAGGGGGCCTGGATATCCCCGCTTTGGGACTAGCGCAATGATCAACGCCAAGCATCTCGGCTATGGCGTTTATTCAACCAGTGCCAGAATTAAATCTGTATTAGTCATTGGATTTGGCTTCATGTATTCCGTAATCGAGAGCCAATATCATCATCCGCCAAGTATTAAAGTTCGTTAGCGCCTCCAAGTTAAGCGCGAGTTTATATACTGGGCGGTAATGACGAGGTCAAGCTCTTAGGTATGTGAATGATATTTCTGGCGTCCATGAAAAAAACTTGAGTTTACCAGTTAGTTGCTCTAAATATCAAGATACCAGTTTGGGATGAAGATTGAATTTCAAGCATAATAAGACCGGAGGTACTAAAAGTCATAGCAAGTAGCAAAACAACCCGGTGAAGACTATGACCGAAGGTTTTAGAATAATTTCAATTCTCAGGGTGTTAAGTACGATAGACTGTACTTAGGTATCTGTTCGCGAATGGCATACGACATTTGAATTATACATTGTTCGTGCCCAGGAATCCATGTATGAGAATATCAGTCTTGTTCTTGTACTGGAGGAGTGTCTATCTGATTGCCACGTCCAGCGGACCAGGAACTTCCCGTCTAAACACGAGGGGCGGCTTCAAGTCTCTCCATTGCCGAAGGTTCCAAAGCTCCTCTATCAATAAGTGACTGGATGAACTGTCTTGCCCAGCTCTGGCAATTCTCACCCTGTGGTGATGAATGTCAGCTCCGCCTTAAGAAGAGAGAAGAGAATACAGAGCTAATTTCTTTGTCTATAGCTCAGACGTACCGCGAAGGGATCAAGGGGAGTGGAGCTTATCCCAGGTGGAGGAACGCCTTGCGCTACGCCAGCGAGCTGAGATTTCCAGCTGTCATCCAGACTCCCAAGAAAGACACAGGAATGTTTCTTGAACTCCTTGCTCAAATCAAACTCCTCCTTGACTTCGAGATTATAGCCATGAAACGGACTACCGATAGCTTGAAACTCTTGCCCGACCTTGCCATTTTCGACTGTGGTTATCAGCACAGCCCAGTGCGCAGGGGTTTTAACGCTCTCTGGGAAAACAACTAAGTAGACGTAAAGTGTCATTTTTTGGACTCGTAGAATTTGAATCTTAGCTGATGGTTTTTGGCGGGGTCGTAAGCCGGAAGTCCGAGTTTTGTAATCCGAGTTTTGTAATCCGAGTTTTGTAATCTGCATGCTTACTGGGCAGTCAGTGAGTTAGTTACCCCTGGGCATCCTGGTTAAATGCTTTGCTGGGCTGGGCGGATAGTCGGAAATATCAGCCAGCATCCAAGCGCTTCAATCAGGGGTATAGAACTATACTTGCGCCTTGTTATATCGCTACGATGTTCCACCTGGCTGGAAAAGACTGATAAGTTAATCTGATATCATTTAAGGAGACCCCTGCGCCCTGCGATTCGTAACTTCGTCTATTTAGATAAACATCGTGATAAAATACAGCGATAAAGCGATAGAAAAAAAGGTCGAGAAAACAACGCCGGGTATAAACTCATGAGATGCAAGGGGGTTTATATGCGTGCATGGTTTAATGCAGAAACTAGGACACTTATAGACAGGGGGGATATGAGGCTTTCTACCCTAGTCATGTCGAACACTATACCGCAAATCTCGTCGTATTATCATATCATGACTGTGTATGCTCAACACCGACTGGTTTCCCTGAGAACTCAACGAGTGACCATCGTTATCACCATGGCCCGAGTTAATCTCTAGGCTGTTAACAGCGCTTCGAACGTAGGCTCGATATTCATACTTCTCAGGTCGGAGAAAGCCACACTTACTTGATTCGCTTGGAGCCGGGCCTGTCTGTTTGTCGCCATCAGGAACGCTCTTCAAAGATGATAGCTGCACGCTCTTGGAGCCTTCGGCATCTCGTGATGAGCCGTATGGCTCTGACACGTATCCAAGCGTTATGCCCATGCCGGTGTGAAACTTGAGTAGATATCCGCCGAGATTGGGGATGGTACAAGATACAAGAGAGTAACAAAGCTCAATTTGTTGGTAGACGAGGGGCGCTACAATGCTGACGCTGGGTTTGGATCTTCTGGAGAACGTCGTTATCCGTTCAACATGGAGAAGTGCGAAAACAATAATCCTGGCATAACGGCGAGTTAGCGTAGAGTTACACATCCGCACATTAGGAGAAGTACACATACGGCAGCCTAGGTATAAAAGCCATCAATACACGGGCTTTCCGTGAAGCACTCATTTGAATTCCCCAGATGACTGATATTGCCACTCCAAAAATAACCAATTCGGTGAATGCGTCTAGTATACCTATAATCTGCCACCTTAGAACCTGTTTAAATGGGAGTTAGAACCCTCCGTATTTGCCAGACAGGTTAATTGTATCTAGGCGACACTCACTATACCCTTGCAAGCACCGTGAATAAAAGCCATCATTCCGGTAGGGGAACAATTGATCAATGCTCCAAGCATCGAACCAACGCCCCAGAGTATGCTCAATAGCAGTACCGCATCACATGTCATGATATGTGACCTCATATCTGGGCTGAATAAACGGCGTATCAATAAGATGAGTGATACTTTTGCAAGTAGCAGTCCAAGGAGAAAGAAGACCTCGCTGAGGGCCAGAGATCGTCCGATTCTTCGAATATGAACCATGCCAAAGCTCTCATCATTTTTCCCCAGCCCGTCAGACAAACCAAAGAAGATAGATATATATTGTGCTTCAGCAATCAGCTGAGACAAAAACGGTGTTAGTATATGGTTCATGGTTACTTAGAGGCATTGTTGTATAGCAGAAAATATAACCAGGTGGCTGTCTTACCGTGGCAAAGAGTGCTATCAGATCATCAAGGCCATAAAATTCCCGTTTGACGTAGGCTCGTAGCCCCATGCTGAGGACAACATAGATGGCACAGATAATTGAAGCAACCCAAAGTATACCGCCATGATCGTCAGGCGTCACAGTGGTGAATCGGTCCCCTCCTGTAAAGAGTTGGAGGTCTACATGACCGGACATCTCGGGGACTTCTTCAATCGCAACAAAGTGATATTCACAGACACCCGGCAATGCGCAAGTATCAAGCGACTAAGCACAGCTCATGTAGCTATCGATGTTTGGACAGCCTTCTTTGATTGCTTGAAGAATAATGTTCAGGGAATCTGGATATACGGCGCATAATGTAGAGGATTCTTCCGTTATGAGAAGGAAGCAGAATCGATGGATCTGGGAGCGGAACGTAACCCTCTCCACCCCCTGTACTCCGTAGTTAACGGCGAGCAGGAGAAATCAAGAAGCTTTTAAAATCTCCACTGGAGACAAAAAAAAAAAAAAAATTGACTTTTTGCGGAAACTGATGCTTGTCCAGGCCATATTATGTTGACACGGGGTTGCAGAGAGAAGGGTGTCATATGTGACAGAGGAAACAGCTCTCCGTCCTGTATTCTCCATATGAAAGATCTTCGTCTCCAGCGTCTTGGCCAGCGTGTTTATCCACCTTGCGGATAGCTATTCTGAAGGACCAACTGCCCAACGAAGAATTGGCAGATTTTCCACCAATAAGGGCTTTTGATCCCTGGTCATGACGGATGAGCACAATATGTACAAATCATGACCTAGGTAATTCCCGCGTGGTTAATTACCCATAAATCATTCCACCCAACGGTGAGCACCCACCCACTATTGGTTAACTTATGTGAGACTTGACATTATTAGGATCCTCCCTCCCAGAGCTTCCGCCTGGCCAAGCTGCAGGCAGGATTGCCCTTTGCTTACCAACATCTCCGCCGTCTTGCTGTTGTTTTGCCGCCGTGTGCTGTCGTCCGGATAACAAAATGGCGCCCAGGGCGTGGGAAAGCTCTGGCGTCTCCCGTACCCTTAAAAGGCTGCGGTCGCCGGGGAGAACGGACCGGAATTTGGCCTTACGAAAGAGCCAACGGGTGGGGCGCCTCCGTCGAGTCTCCCATCGTATAATTGGATAGAGTCCCTGCAACTCTTTGCTGTCTTGGGGCGGAAAACAGGGGGATGCCCAGCCGACCCAGCTTCACCCTTATTCCCAGCGAAAAGAAGGGGTCGGTATTTTCCTCCCGAAGCTTGCAAACAACGCTAGGGCTGGGCTAGAACGGAACGAGAGCAAGCTCCCGTCGTGTCTCGTGTCTGCACGGCGGCCCTCTGGCTGACTAGGCAAAATTTTTCTTGTCAGGCTTGCTTCGCTGTAGGTCGGAAGTATGCCTTGGTCAGTCGAAACGATTCATGAACGTTCTGGCATGCATGTAACCATGCAACGCCGGCGCGACGGTACGAAGCAAGCTGGAACTATCACTGAGGACTGGCGAATGGATAGCTTCGGGGTGAACGAGGGGCCTTGTTCAACTCATGGGAAATTTACTTACGCTGGCCCCCCCATAGCATGAACCCAACTTGGTAGGTCAGTCCCCGAATACCTTGGGCTCCCGGTCGCTGCAATCCAGGGTGCAACTGTCCTGTTCGCGATATATATCACTATCAATTTCACATCCCGTGTGTTTGTGAGCTTCTTGCGATCTTCTCCATCTCTTCTAAACCTCAGACGTTTGGGTTTTCGAACGATCGGCAGACGCAGGTTGATTGAAGGAGCCGCTCCGATTCAGGCTTTATTTGCGCCGCCGGTGGTTTATATATACGCAACTCCTCTACGAATCAAGGCAGCAGAAGGTGGTGGCCGATAGGTGGGAACTTGGGTTTCATCATGGGCAGAACATCTGACACAGAGGTTAATGATGCCAGATCTGATGTGCCTGGGGATACCTTCATCAGCCTGCGAGATGGCACCGCAAACGATGTGCAGGATATGCAGCGGATGGGCAAGCAGCAGCAACTCCAAGTGAGTGAACAGTCCAATGGGTTGAAGCGCAGCATGTCGTACCCAGCATGGAATGCCCTTACTCAGATTGTCTTCTAATGTGACCATCTTGCTGCAATATAGCGTAATTTTGGCTTTCTATCTATATTTGGCTTCTCCATGATCCTGATGAGCACATGGGAGAGTACTCTTGGGTGAGTATTCTAAAGACTCACACCTGACGGACCGCTTTATTATCTACCAGTACTGACAAGGTCGCAGGACCGCAGCTTTTGGCCTTGGAAATGGAGGAACAGCCGGGTTGATCTATGTTTATCTTGGGACCGTCGTTGGTTTTTCGCTGGTGATCGCATCGATGGCTGAGATGGCTTCCATGGCGCCAACTGCTGGTGGCCAGTACCACTGGATTTCAGAGTTTGCGCCCCGAAGTTCTCAGAGATTTCTCTCCTATATCATCGGCTGGTTGTGTGTGCTTGGATGGCAAGCTGGTACAGCGTCCTCCTGCTTCCTAGCCGGGACTGAGATCCAGGGACTAGTTATCCTCAACTATGACAACTATGAACCCCAGCAGTGGCACGGAACCTTGATGGCAATGGCTGTCATTGCGCTTTGCGCCCTTTTTAACACGATCCTTGCGAAGCGACTCCCGGTAGTCGAAGGTGTCGTTCTTATCCTTCACGTTGCCGGCTTCTTTGCAATTTTGATCCCACTGTGGATTCTTGCCCCACGGTCTTCCTCGAAGGATGTATGGACAAAAGTCGAGGATGCGCAAGGATGGGGGAGCAAAGGACTGGCCAGTCTGGTTGGAATAATCACGCCCGTCGTGTCACTCCTGGGAGCTGATGCTGCAACTCACATGTCTGAGGAGTTGAAGAATGCATCGAAAACGCTACCTAGGGCGATGCTCGCAACCGCCTTGTTTAATGGTTCTCTAGGTATCATCATGGTGATGTAAGTTGTTTGCTTGGTTGCACTTAATACTGGTTTATAATTTCAAGGGCTGACAGTCAGTTATAGCACTTTCTGCTATACAATCGGTGATGTTGAGAGCGTCCTTGCAACACCAACGGGATACCCCTTCATCCAAGTATTTTATAATGCCACCATGTCTAAGCCAGGCGCCACTGCTATGACAGCAATCATGACTTCGCTGTCCATCTTCTGTGGCATGACGAACATGGCTACTGCTTCAAGACAGCTCTTTGCATTTGCCCGAGATAATGGCCTTCCTTTCGGCAAATTCTTCCAAACGGTACGACGTTTTCAAAAAGCCTTTTGCCTGGGTCATAAGAAAGTTACTGACTCTGAAATCCATAGGTCCCAATTGGGTGGGATATTCCACTCAATGCCATCATTTTCACTGTCATAGTGAGTTCGCTGCTCTCTCTTATCAACGTCGGTAGTACGATTGCGTTCAACCAAATCACCTCCCTTGGTCTTTGTGCGCTGCTATCCAGTTACATTGTTTCCATCTCATGTATGGCTCTCAAGAGGATACGCGGCGAAAAATTGCTTCCCTCGCATTTCCGCATGGGTTCTCTTGGCCTACCCATTAACCTGCTCTCCATTGCCTTCCTGGTGCTGGCATATGTTTTCTGCTTCTTCCCGCCATCGCCAAAGCCGGCGCTAGATGGGATGAACTGGAGTGTCGTTATTTACTTTGGAGTGTTGTTGTTTAGTCTGATATACTTTGCCTTCCAAGGGAGACATAAGTATGTTGGGCCCGTGGAGTATGTGAGAAAGAGCACCTGACCTAGCTCTGGTATATTTTCATATTCGTTTTTGGGCGGCATTTTCGTATAAAATAGCTTTGTTAATGTGTATTTCAACGTTCTCGACGTTATATTTTTCAGTCCAGAGACCATCATCTCGACAACTTGATTGTATAACTGTATTCAAACCTGATTGCAGAGATTTGAGAAGAAGCCTAGATTGACTATGATGGAACAGTTAGTCTATAACTTCATTTACTTACCTGCTTTAGTTTTCACACTTGCTCTCAGCTGGGATAGCCGGAACAATTCCCAAGGAAAATGCATGAAAGCAGACTTCGAAACGTATTAACCTGCGATGATGACTTCAGATGGTGTTTCTCATCAGTTATCCGTTTGCAGAACTTTGATCGGCCATAGGTGCTTGCCATATCAAGAGCCAAGCAACCATACGTGCGAAGCCAAAATGGGGGTGATAAAGCTGTGTGAACGTTGGTAGGCAATAGTTTTACCAGCCACAGCTGTATTGTCCTGATTTAAGGGCAAGGTCGGGAAATAGATGGCTGTATATGATGGATGTGCAAGTGTTACGGTAGGTCATTCATAGATAGGGCGTAATTTAGTGTCCAATGTGAGAAGGGAGGCAAGGTGGGCAATTATGAGTCGGGCTAGGAAGGATAACATGATGAAGGCAGATAGATCCTGATTTGTTTTTAAGGCGGCACGATGAGCAATTTCATAACAAGTAGCGGGATAGAAATACACCAGTGAAGGAATTACATCCAGGGAACCCGTGATAGTAGAGAGGAATGACACAAAAACGAATGTCAAAAATAGGAAGCATAGGAAGTAGAAAATTTCGAGTTAAAAATACTTCGGTAAAAAAAAAAAGAATAAGAGGATTGAGGAAGTATGTTTTTTGTTAAAGGAAATCAAGGACTTGGCCAGAGGACATTAAGCGCCCGAAATACTATGGTTGCAAAACAAAAAAGGGATCACGTAGTTTCATACCAAATTAGACTCGGTGTTTTTCACTCTCTATAAGGTGAAGTGGTTAGCATACTGTTCGTGTATTAGACGTGAGAAGTCAACTAACCAAGTCGTGAATAGAGCATGTACAACGCCATTTGGTTGCACTCCTGAGTACCAGTTATAGTGACCAATCGCTCATTGCTGTTATCTTGGGGCTCGTTGATCTTGATAACGCTGCCACTGAGGTGTCGAATCTCGTTGATTTTTGCTCCTCCCTTCCCAATAATTGCGCCTACCATGTCATTGGGTATGTAGATCTGCTGGGTGAGAGGTTGACCAGGAACGGCTGCACCCATTGGTGGGCCATTTGGAGGGACATGGCCGCCATGCAAAGGCTGAGGAGCGCCATATGGAGCGGGCTGATGAGGTCCAGCTCCGGTATATCCCGTCCGTGGAGAGGCACCGTAGTGAAGACTCGGCTGTGGAGCATGGGGGTGAGGAGCAGGCTGCTGCATATATGGAACACCATATCCTCCAGGGGCAGCACGGTTGGCTTGAGGATTGTTCCGGCGTAGGCTGTCCGGATGTCCGTACTGTCCTCCAGCTGGCTGCGGAACGTATGGCACGACCTGCATACCACCAGGGACGACACCAGCAGGGCCACCACTTCGGGTGGCATAAGCAGATGCAGCAGGGCCGCCAAATCTCTCAGTCAACTGCTCAACCAATGTGACAGCAACGTAGTAGGTTGCAATGTGCACAGCGTCAGCAACACCAAGAATAACAAGTGATCGCTCGGTAGAGAGGGGGAGGCAAGAGTCCGAAGCATTGAGACGAGCACCAGATGCCTCCTGGATCTCGCGGATGCGAACACCCGATTTGCCAATGATAGAGCCAATGAGAATATGAGGGATGAGAAGACGGAGAGGGTAGGTCTTGGACTGGGCAGTTGAGGGTGCTTCAAGTGGCTCATTGTTTAGGGTACGAATAATCAAACCAAAAGCCTGTAAATAGTTAGAACAAGAAACGTTACCAATTATATAAAGTCATATGTGACCATACCTTTGCAACTGCATCTTGCATGCCACTAACGGTCAGGATTCTCTCCACTGCTCCGCGAGAGTAGTCGCTAACGGTACACTTGGCGCCAGATAGACGTCTAATCTGGGAGACATTTTCTCCACCTTTACCAATAACGGTAGCAGCCTCAGCACTGGAGATGACGGCTCTGATGTGTACCCAGCCAGTTTCGTCCTGGGCAGGTTGGCTGGTAGTTGGAGGGTTCGACGTGGCACGGTCGTTGTGGGAAGCTGTGGATTGAATTGGCTGCGTCTCCAGGGCAGGAGCAGGAGCGGTTTTGCCATTGTTAGGGGCATCAGGGACTAGCAAATCACCTTGACCATCCTTGACGCCGTTTTCACCGCCAGCACCATTTTCGGTGCCGTTCACACTCTTTTCATTGGTAGGCTTATCACCTTCCTGGGACTTCGATTCATCGCCCTCAGCCTTTACGACCTTATCCAGAGCTTGACGCTTGGCCTCTGGCTGGTCATTAGGCCCGGAAGGTGAAGATGGGTCCTCGAGGGGTCGTTTAGTTGACGGACCGGCTGAAGTTGGCGAGGCAGACATGGCTGAAAAGCGCGTTTAGAGGTATTTAGTGGTTGATTGCGACCTTTTTTTGGCTTCTTTTCTGTCGTTTCTTGCGGTAATCGATCACCTACGTTTGAGAGAAGAGGAAGACTGAGAAAAAAAAAAACAAGGTAGAAGCCGGAGTGAAGCTGAAACTTTCTTTAGATTCTTTCTTTCTTTCCTTTCTCTTGTCAAATCGGTCTTTTCTTATGTACACCAGGAGTTCCCAAGGAAAACTTGCTGGTGCAGTGGTCGGACTGAGAGAAAGGTGATGGGAGGTGTGGTGTTGTTGAGAGCGGAATTGGTGTAGATAGATATTGTGAGGGTGCAGGGCGTGTTGATTTGTGTAAGATTCGAGCGGTTGACTGGTGGATAAGGATGCGAGAGTAAGGCTGATATGTAATTTCTTTTTTTTTTTTTTTTTTTTTCCCGAGCCCAGAAGCTCTGAAAGAAGGACAGTGGTGTTTGTGGGAGAGATTAGGAGGTGTGGTGATTTGTAGTTGAGCAGACGGGTTTAACGAGAACGTCACCACTCAGCGAGCAGGAAAACAAAGGATAATTGACGGCTGTGCCTGAAAACGCAAGTGAATAAAAGGCGAAGGGCCAGAAAACGAAACTTCTAGTTTGTTTGCCCAAGTATGGATCGAAGCTGCTGAGACGCGGACGGGTGGGTTTCGGACGTGACGGTTGCGCGCAGGACACCAAACAAAGGAGCTTGGCGAGAAAAGGGCCGCCGAAAAGTGTCGACTCAACGGCGAGAACCTAGCAAGACAACGCCAGAGAGCTCGCTCTTCGTTTGGCGATGCGAAAGTGCTGACGCTGGAGATGAAGTCGAGGTTGAAGCTCGCAAAGTCGAGAGTTGAGGTTGAAAAAAAAGAAGTTAGGGGGATCCGCGCTAGGCCCCTTTGGGACATCCGGGGTAGTCACGTGAATCAACATTACAGCAGGCCAAAAAAAGAACGAGCAGGAAAGGAAGAGCGCAGACAAGCAGACGAGAAGCAGACGAGAAGCAGACAATAAGACAAGGCGGGACAGGATGGTGGCTGGAGAGGTGGTTGAGAGGATACGGGCTTACCAGGAGTCGTGCCGGGATATCGAGAAAGAGCGTGAAAAAGACGCGTTGACAGCCGCTGACTACGAAGAATACAACAAGCAGATAGACAAGACACTGCGCGGCCTACGCGAGCAGGTCCAGCGACAGGAGTCTGCTTTGAGAGAGGTATGCCATATGTGTTTGGCCGACACGGTATGTTTGGACCTGTCTAACCAGTGATTTTATAGCTGCGTGCGTCTACAAATCCTCTGGAGTTACCGCGTCCACACTTACAGCCACACGAACGACTGTCACAGACACGCAGGGCTATCCAGGCATACAAGTCGCTCTTATCCGATGGAGAGCCCCAGCTTCCGGCCCCGGACTCTCCATTGAATGGTCTCTTGGCTATTCGGGAAGCTCGTCGATTGGTTCAAGAATTCAAGCACACCATTCCTTCAACGGCAGAACAGCTTGTCCGTGATCGTGAGAGACTAAAAGCTGAAGAAGCCGATCTACAAGACGCCAATGCAATAACTACTGAACTCCAACGGAGAATACGTGATATTCGCCAGAACAGACGAGACGATAATGATACTGGACGGAAGAAATCAAGACAAGACTTGAACCGAGCTGCAAAAGAACAGATCAGGGAACACCAAAGAAAAGGCGTTGAGATAGATGAGAAAACTGCAGAGCTGCAGAACGCGTTAAAGGAGTTCATTGAGGAACATCTTGCACCGATGCTTGCAGCAGAGGATGTTGGTGGGCCGGTTGTTGGTGATCAGGTCGAGGTATCTGATTCGACTCTTGAAGCTGGATATACAACAAGAGGCAAAGAACGAAAAGCCTCCAGGGTTAGCAGTGGACAAAGTACTGGTAATAAGAAGCAGCAGCAACGCATAGATGAGCTAATTCATCGTGGCAAAAGAGGAGGTCCGCCTAGTGGGCGCGATGGAGAGGATGGGGACGACAATGAGAAAGATGGTGCTAGAGTCAATAACCCAAGGGAAGCTGCTGCGCAAGAAATGCAGTCTCTTCTAGATTCGCTGCTGAGCATAGCGACTACGTCATCGTACGTCGAACTAGACCAAGACTCCGCGGCTTCAAGGTTCCTAGTTAAGGCCAAGATCGCACAGTTCCACCCGCGGGATTCACAGAAGTTGCGACTGATCGATGTTGCAAGAGAAATAGCAGACTAGAAGACGCATTTATATCTACTCTATAGATGTGTTTTTGTCTACGGCACATGTCCAAGACACCGCATATAATTTCCCCACACAAATTTAATACTTCTAGTCAATCGTATCATCACGAAGAGCAAACAGCTGCGCAATAAGTTCAGCGGAATTCGAACGCAGTCCGTTGTGGTACATTGTGTTGGTGATGAACTGTTTGCAATTGCCAATAGTGGCAGCTGTTTCGTTGGCATAGCTGAAGTGCACGTACATATCCTCGACATATGTGGCGGAGTATACTGGCACCTCGTTGCGCGCGAGCTTTTCCTTATCATACAACTGAGGCCAGTCATTGTAGGAAGCAAGAATATCGGCTACCTCTTTGAGCTGGCCAAGCTCAGTGGACGACTCAAACCAGTGTTTGTATACCATCTCCCCAGTGAAGTAGATGCCATCAGGGTTGTGAGCGCCTCGGAACCCAGCGAACTTGGGTAATAATCTTTCGGCCGCCCAGTTTGATGCCTCCCTATGGTATTACGTTAGATTCTGATATTCACTCGATCATGAGAGACGTCTTACCCTTGGCAGTAGATAGATTCATGCATTATGGCATATAGAATGCCGTTATCTGCACTCGTGTCGTTCTCGATGAGTGATAGAGTAGGACGTGTAAGGAAGCCAAAAGTATCCAGTTCATTAATGCATTTCAAAATAATGCCTGACATTCCGACATTGTTAGTCAGTGAATAAGTATAGTGTAGTTACTGAAGGTATCATACTATGAACTAAACCGATGCCCCCTATACGCATATGTTAGTCATGGGTAAAGAGAAGCCACTGGTGAAGTGTGGCGTACCTTTCATTCCAAAATGAATTCCTAGCTGGAGGAAGCGTTCTGGAGTTAACGATGAGCCATCAGGGAGCTTAACATTGTGGGTTTGGAGATGCTTGAGTATAATCCGCACTCGATCTTCGTCTTCGGGGAAAGTAGAATAGTACACTTTATTCCGGGACTGGACCTTGTCTGTAGATGTCAGCTGTATACTGAACTAAAGATAGCCCAATCTATGTTAACTTACCGTAAGTCCTCTCGTACACAGGATCAGGCTTTGACACAAGAGGCGGTAATCCACCAGTTGTGAAGACCTCTTTAAGTCCCTCAGGGCTAAATGATGAAGGTTACATTTGTACGACAACCTGTAGATTTGAAAGAGTAGTTACTTACTACTTAGAAAGATACGTAATGGCACAGAATCCTCCAAAACTCTGGCCAAGAACGCTCCATTTCTGCCTATCTGGGGGGTGATAAGCAGTCAATAGTTTACGCACTGCCTCACAGTCTCGCACAATATTATCGGCACGGAATAGCCTAAGATATTCGGCCTGCTTTACTGCGTTTCCCTGAAGAGCAAGCGTCGCAGCAGTGATAGGGGTTGAAAGCCCTGTTCCTCGCTGGTCAAGGAGAAGGATCTAATCAAAATAATTCAACGATGTGTTCTACAGTTACTCATCCCGATTCTGGAGACTCACCTGGTACCCTCGATCCAGCAATGGGCCAACCCAGCCTACCTCCTGGGGCTGTGGGCAAGCTCCTCCTGGTCCACCCTGCAGGAAGACAATCCAGGGCAGCTGTCTGTCTTTATCCTCGATAGTGGACCCTGGCATTCGCCGCTGCACGCTCCTGGCGAACAACCGGAGCGATGTGGAAGATGGGTTTGAGTAGTCCAAAGGGACATCAAAAAGAAGCTCAGCTACGCTCAGTCTTCCTATGGTAGGCGTTAGTAAATATGCAATAGTAGATTGCGTTGAGATACTCGGTTAACTATGCATGATGTGACTCAAAATTAGCTGCACTAACCTGGTACATTTTGCCCCCAGTACCGGCTCAACAGTTTTGCTGCTTGCATGTCTTCTACCATAGTATATTTAGATGGTGACCTGCAGCTGGTTGACCTGTGTTACTTGACAAGCAGGAGACGAACAATCAGTCTTAGCTTTGGTGGTTCGATCGGTGTTGTTGAATGCTTGATACCCGTCGTCCGTCTCTTTAGGCTTTGGGAGCGTCTGCTTGGCGCTAAATCGGCTATTTCCCCTCACTAGTTAACTCGATAGTTACTTTCATGGTTTTATTGACAGGAGGAGGTACGGAGTAATATTAAACAATTAATATATGTTATTAAGCCGCATATATATCGATTGATAGGTGCTAGCTACAACTAAGTCGACTATTAAGGCCGGGAAGCGAGTTAGAAGGTGTTATCTGTCTCCGCTTCCTCCCACTTGGTTGGACCCTTGAAACTCAACGGTATATATAGCCCGTATTGTTCAACAATATATATATATATATATTATCAACGATCCCAGGGATTCCAGGTTTAATTCATCTCGATTTTGCATCCAAGAGATCTCATGGGGTTTGGCCGCTTTACTTCCCCTTTACATGATCAAGGTATCAAGGGAAGTTCCTAAGGTTAATGAAATAATGACCCAGGGATGGGGAGAAGATGGGAGACAATAGCTCTACTAATTCTCCACCTCTGTCCTATATGGAAATCCTAACATGGGACGTATCGTTCTCTATCAACATACGATCCTTTATGTAATTTCCATCTGTTAGAGCTGGATATTGTTGGCTTCATCATAGAAGAATCAGCGTCATGGAACGCGGCTGCTGACTAAAACCCACCACTTCACGTGACAATAACGGGATAATATTAATCCGGTATCGATACTGGAAGCACGGGCCACATCGTCCCTTTTTTTGTGACGACGAAAATTACAAACAAACCAGGAGGACATGAAGTGTTTTCTTCTGAACTTGCATCGATATCACTACGACACGCTATACGACACGATATATTTGGCCTATTTTGCTGCTCTCACTTTCTCGGATGTACAGGAAGCTGCCTCACAATTCCCTCTTTTGTGCATCTTTGGTCCAGCAAGCCTAATGCGTCATCCCAGCGGGTTTTGTTGCGGTAGCCACGATGGCAACCCAATTCATGGGAATGAGCCTATCAACACCATACGTTGATGTGAAGTAGTCCGAAACTGCTGATGCAAAACGAGGCCCGTACTTCTCCCTTTGCTGCTCGTTCCAGAACCTGGCCGGTATATGTGACATAATTGAACCCAATGCTGGCATGATCTCCGATTGGTTGCTTGTTGCCATGGTCATTTGCACGAGTCGTACTTGGATATCTTCGAGCCTCCGTTTCTGCAACTGATCTTCAACCCAAGTGGGGTCATGCCATTCATCGCCGCTGCCGAGTGACATTAGAAATTTATCGGACGTGGGCTGTGGGAGGTCAGGGGCCATGGTAGCAATGACAGCATTGATATCATCGCTCCATCCGGCTATTGAAAGGACATGGGGTCAGCAGGCAAATTTGGGAGTCATCAACTGCCGCAGATATAGCTTGGCGGGCTAGCGTTAGGTGTCAGGTCCTAGGGCATACGTACTCTTTTTCCAGGTGGTGAATGCGAGTGTTCCACCCGGCCTTAGAATCCGGAGGCACTCTATATACTAGGTTATCAGTTGATGGCTATTCCTGGTATACAAAGTCTGGCTACAAGGATTGAAAAGGCCTCACCGTCTAGGCTCTCCTGGGGCTTTGGCACACCCATTATTGCTGAAGGGCTCAAAACGTCAGCAAACTGATTACCTTTGTCAAGGAGATATTTTCCGTATAAAACTAACCAAAAGCAGCAAACACATGAGTGTAACTGTTAGCCGGCAACCCGGTCTCCTGCATATCCACGACTGCAGCGTCGGTGTTTTCCCATCCTTCAGCTTCTATCTTTTCCTTGACCACATTGATCATTGCCTCAGACAGGTCTGCACATGTCAACGTCCACTTGCACCCGGTCTTCCAATCAGGAAGCATCTCATGCAGAACGGCCGAGACTGCCCCTGTCCCGCAAGCATTGTCCAGTATAGACAGTGGTTCCCCCTCATTCCGAATGGATAAGACACCTGATTGCTCGACCAACGACCTAGCAAAAGCAATGGTCACCTTTTCCGCAGAGCGGTAGCCCTCCACGACTTCTGGATCTTTCCATATGGCTTCGGAGCACTGTTTCGGCTTGGAGGTGGTAAGAGCGTCAGGCCCCATGCTTGGGAATGATTGTGATATGGCTAAGGGCAGTATCAACACGAACTTGAGATAGAAAGTGTAGGTGAATGTATGCTGATAGCTGAGGCTATAACATGAGGAGTGGGGAAGTGATACAAACACGATATATTGTCACCCGAACAACAGGGCCGGACACTAATATCACCTGTTTCTTGGCAACAATGCCCCCGAGCAAGGCGGAAAATTTGGAATGATACTCAGCTGCCAACAGTCGCTATTAACCAATAAAATAGTAGTGCATCCGGAGGACTTTTATTTGCTTACGTCGGGCTAGAACCTATATGACTCAGCTTACTACCCCTGTTTCTCGAACGGCATGGTGGGGTAAATCTGATGCCTGTATGACAGCTCTGCCCTATGGAATCCATGATGCGGAAGTTCGTTCACCATGATGTGGATCTCTGTTTTGCTCATAAAAAAGCTGATGAGTGATCCATTAATTCTATATCACCCTCAGCTTGTAGGGCCATCTACAGCATTGGCTCCTCTCCCTGCCCTGCTGCGGGGCAGTCCAGCTGCAAACACTGCCCATAGTGCCAGCCCCGATGTTTGCCGTGGACTTGGTTTCCCTTTCAGGCCCCAGTCGACGCCGGCACCGCCCAATTCTGCATAGTGTTCGCGTATGTTGAGTTGAAGTTACATAACCAAAACGAGCAAAGTCCGGCCCTGTGGGGCGTTGATTAGGCTTGTGGGGCCACGGGCTGGTCCGTAAGTTAATTTTAACCCAACATCCCCACCAATCAATAGTAATCATCAAAATGAGCTACAACTACGGAGTGTATCTGATGGTTATGGGATACGCAAATCTCGGCGGTTAACAGTTTGGATGAATAATTGCTCTTTGATATTGACATAAAACTTACGCAGTGTGACTTTAACTAAAACAGTTTTCTTAGCAAGAAGTATCTGTGCCGAATAGTACGAAGGGTCTCTCACTCTCCAGTATTTCTTTGGCTATTGGGCACGGTATTGCGGGGGAACTAAGCCCGATAATAGAACTACCCATTGATTGCAACCTCTTGCATATAGCGGTTTTATTCCTGGGTATAGTTGCTGGCACATAGACTCTAATACGGAATCTGGGCCTTAAACATTGCGGGACTTTGCAACGTCTCGCCCGTCAACTGGACTGACGTGACGAAGCAGATGCGAATAATCCCTGCAAGTCACACTCGCTAACGGCTAGCCCACGACTCTATCAACGGTTATGATAGGCTGGAAGCCAATATAAGTGTGTTTACAGGGACCCTAACCTACAGAACTTAAATGCTCATGTTTATGCAAGAACACATATTGACGCTATGTAAACACGCTGGTACTTACTAGTTTTACGATTTGACGAGACATTCAAAAGCTAATGAAATATGTATATCATAGTGTTTGTATCAACTTGCTAAATATAGTCAAATATAAATAATTGCCATTGAATTGCTATGTACCTTTCACCTTGTTCAAAAGTCGGAGGCTAACTAATCTTAAGTGATACATGAGCTGGGAAGTTGCAAGTTGTGGGAGGTAACCGGCACAAGTTTGACATAATTGTTTACTTATGGGCCTCGATGTGCTGGTGGACGTGCTGGGTATCCGCATAGGCCCTTAATTCAGTGATCTTCCCATCGTGGTTGAAGCGCATGAGAACAGCCATCTCGTGATTCCATGGGGTGTCTTAGCAAGGTGATTGTTAGCCGAAGAGAAATTCTGAATCTTTGAAATCTATCAAATAAACTTACTGTTCTGGGTGGTTGCAGTGCTGTGGAGAACAGCAGCCTTCCATTCGTCGTTTTCGCCGCCAATGACATGCAAAACACTGCCCTTAATCGGCTTGTTGACATCAATAATGGAGTTCAAGGATGGCATGTCATCGGACTGAAGGTGCTCCTTGAAGGCATCAAGACCGCGGTGCTTTCCATTCAAGTGAAATTCGTGGCCGGAAATGTGAACTTCAACATCATCGGAGAAGAGCTCGTCCAAATGTCCGAACTGGAAGAGGCTTTCAGAGTCATCGGTGAGGTCGGACTTTTGGAGTTTGGAGTGGAATTGAGATTCCAAGAGAGACTTGATTTCGGCGTTGGTTGGGTAGCCCATTTTGGTGGTGATAACAGGAGAGATTGCAGTGAAGCTGTAGATCTGAAGCGATAGGGTTTCTGATATTGATGATAATGGTGATGATGATGAGTAGATAGAAGCTTGCTTGGTGAAGGATAGTAAGGGCCTTTTATATTCAAAGGGTCTCCGTTTACAGTTATATTTTTGTAGATGCCAGCTGAGATGTAGACCAGGGGGGATTGAAAATGCATTGTCAATGTAACCCATATAGACAAGGTATTGAACCCTGAATTCAGCTGTAAGAACCATGACGGGCAATGCCGGAAAAAGATTCGACCTTGGCTCGCTAAGAGTAACATCAACGAGGGTATTACTAGTTGGGTGACTGGTTGATAATGCATGGAAGCGCTCTATGTGGATGTCAACAACAGCTGAGTTGACGAAGGATCAGGACCCGCTTAAGCAGGTAGCACGTCGTCATTTTTCCAGCTAACCGTTCACATGAGTAACAATTGTAGCTGAGAAGACAACTGGGATTTGTGGTATCAGCAAGCAATTAACCTGCAGTTCAAAAAGACATTTATCATCACCCGTTTACTTGACAGTAAATACCGACATATTCCTCTCAAAAGAAGAAAACTCGACATTTTTTATTAATAATATTGCGAAGTTTGGGTGGCTAGACACAGTCTTCCCGTTATTTTCGCCTGTGTTATCAAAATGGGCTCAACACGAGTGCGCAGTTACAATTGCACCTCGAATGAAAACAGGGACGACTCAATTGGAAAGTTCCCCTTGTTGACTGATGGCTATTCTCCACCTTGCAGCAAATTCGAGTTGGAAACGAAACGCCACAACGTTTGTGTGGAAGGAGATCTCACGCCAGGAAACTTGTCAGAGTCCATTGTCATTTCAGCATGGGCATTGACCCTATCAATATATATTGGCACATCCAAAGTTTCCTTTCATGTCCTGCTCAAGGATGAATCCCAGTGGCGAACTTCGATATTCCATATAGATGCCAGTGAGAATCAGACACAGCAACAGTTCGTTCAGAAATCACACAGTTTGCTCCAGAAGCTTAAATCGGAGAGCATTTCGAATGAAGAAGTTGGAGACCGCGAGATTCTTGAACAACCAGTTAATACTGCAATTCTGATCGGTCATGTTTCGAGTAGAGTGGATTTATCAACCCTGAAATTTGTAAAGGTATTTCCATTTTCCCTCTACTGTTCAACATCGATAGTGGCTGACCAACGCACTTGAAGAAATTTATTACTCTAGATGCCATGGGCCCAACAGGAACAGACTTCCGCCTGAGTTACCAGAACTCTATGCTTTCTGATAAGCAGGCAATGAACGTCGGTTCCACGTTTGCGAAAATCTTGTCAGGTTATATACGAATTTCCGATAGACCGCTTGGTTCTCTGGAATACATGAGTCAGCTGCACATTTCTCAGCTGTGGAAGTTCAATAGTGGCGTTTCTGAAGAACCATGGATGGAATGCTTCCATGCTGTCGTTGAGAGACATGCACGAGAAAATCCCCTATCTCAAGCAATCGATGCATGGGATGGGAGATTCACATACGCAGAACTGAATAATCTGTCAATTCTGCTAGCCAAATACCTTCAATCCCAAGGAGTTGGGCCCGGTAGTGTTGTTCCTATATCTTTCGAGCGTTCTGCGTGGGCGATCGTGGCTATGTTGAGCGTGTCAAAAGCTGGCGGCGCATTCGTGAGCATTCCGCCATACTTGCCATCTGGTAGAAGAGAAGCAATGGTTCAAATGATATCTCCGTCAATCTTATTGACAACATCAGATTTTTGTCACCTCTGGGCCACTGGACCAAAATGCATTCCGATAGAGGGCAGCCGTATAAATTGTCTACCAACATCCGAACTGCCCCTAATAACAAGATCCAAACCGGAAGATACCTTTTATATAATTTTCACCAGCGGTTCAACAGGGGCTCCAAAAGGGTGTATGGTATCCCATTCGTCGTTTTTGAATGGAGCTTTAAGAAAAGCTCCAGAATGGAAATTTGGACCCAAGCGCCGTGTCCTTCAGATGCTAAGCCATACATTTGACATGAGCCTCCTTGAAATCTGTACTAGTTTGGGTTCTGGAGCATGTGTATGCGTACCCCGGACGGAGGATATCGAAGATAGCCTTGCAAATGCGATTAACAAATATAACGTCAGTCTCGCAGTTATGACCCCGTCACTTGCCAGACAGTTGGAGCCTGAAGCAGTACCCAAACTACAGGTTCTCTGCCTCGGAGGAGAATCATTTCCTAAAGACCTGGTCACACTGTGGTCCGAGCGAATCAACCTCTTTCAATTCTATGGCCCAAGTGAATGCTCAATCAATTCATCAACAAGAGCTATAACACACAAGAATACTGATCCATTGAATATTGGAGTTCCTAATAACGCAGCATGTTGGGTGGTATCCCCGGAAGACTACAACAAGCTCGTCCCTATTGGCGCCACCGGGGGAGCTTTTGGTCTCTGGTGCTATTGTCGGCCAAGGGTATTATAAAAATCCTGTCAAGACTGCGGAATCATTTGTCCAGAACATCGCTTTTCTTCAAGGAGATCCTCACTACAGCGGCTGGCGCTGTTACAGGACTGGAGATTTAGTGCGATGGAACTCAGATGGGACGCTTGTCTTTTGTGGGCGTTTAGATAGTCAGGTAAAGCTCAATGGTCAACGCCTTGAGCTGGGTGAAGTTGAATACCATTTGACTCTCGAGGAAGGAGTCGGCCATGCAATGGCGATGGTTCCAAGGACAGGACGATGTAAGGATAATTTGATGGGGATAATATCCTTAAAGTCATCACCTCCTGTCGACAGCAACGACGAAATATCAACTCTTCAAGGTGCTTTGGTTGATCAAAGTATACAATCCATCCGGAAACGATTACAAAATTCTCTTCCAAGGTATATGGTTCCAACTATATGGGCGTGTATCCTTCGGATGCCTATGTCTGCATCTGGAAAAATTGATCGTGTTAGAGTACGCCGATGGGTTGAAGAAATGTCAGAAAGCACATTTCGTGAGATAACTGGGGGTATACAACAACCTGGAGACAGGAATCCTTTGAGTAAGATGGAACAGTTTGTCCAAAATATATGGAGTTCTGTTCTTGACTTGTCACCACAGGATGTTGGTCGTCATCAATCATTCATACAACTTGGTGGCAATTCTATCCTAGCCCAAGAAGTTGTAGCAAAATGCAGGAAGGAAGGTATAGGGCTGACAATGACTGATATTTTGACTTGCAATGGTATTGCCGGAGCGGCATCCTTGACAACAGCACTTGGGAACAACGAGTCGCAGACAAGACTGCTTTCCTCCACTTCCACACCAGTGTGGAGAAAACTTCGAGAAAAGTACGATTTGTCTCGCCTAGGGGTCTCACATATAGAGGACATTGAAGATGTGTATCCTTGCACACCTATGCAAATAGGTATGTTCCTCGGCCAGATTCGAAAACCAGGCTCATATCATCTTCGATTCTTCTATAAACCGATTGTGAAGGGTGGGAAATTGCCAGAACTCGGAAGGATTGAATCAGCCTGGCACCAAGTTGTTTCTCACCATACCTCATTGCGTACAGTATTTGTGGACGACCTGGGAGTCGGTGCGGAGTACCATTCCGTTGTATTGCGCAACGCCCCGGTAGATGTGTGTATAGACGAAGTCCCAGAGAAATTTTCACCCTCTGAGGCTATGGAAACATTTACCAAGTCAATCAAACGATTTGCAAAGCGTTCAACGTTCCATAGAATATCCCTATGCGTATGTGGTGACAAGGTCACGTACCTCATGATAGAGGTATCCCATGCCTTAGTTGATGGTGCCGCCATGGAGAACCTGATGAGAGATTTTGCAACTGCCTTCGATGACGGACAGCTCCTTTACCAGCCACAGCCCTATCGAGAATTCGTAAAATACGTGGCTTCACAAAACAATGAGGCCAGTGCTAGGTACTGGACGACGTATCTCAAAGATTGCCCGCCCTGCATGATACCCGTCAGTAAACAGATGATGTTTGACGACCTGCCCACTCGCTTCTTGAGAAAGGACTTCGTCTACGAGAAAAGCAGTGATTTTCTAGCCAAATGCAAAGAAAGACAAATAACAGTGGCATCAGCTGTTAGGGTTGCTTGGGCATTGGTCCTCAGGGCATATATTGGGTCCAGTGACGTATGTTTCACTTATGTTGCTGCTGGTAGAGATGTACCCGTGAAAGATGTGAACAAAATGGTTGGACTATGCCTAAGCATACAGCCTTGTCGAGCGCAGCTCTGCACTGGCACAACGTTCGTATCTCTTGCAGAAAGAATGCAACAAGAATATATCGAAAGCATGCCATACCAACACTATCCTCTAACGGAACTAAAGGCGAGGTTATATCCGAAAGGCAGTGAGGCTATGTTCAACACGGCCGTTTCCATGGAGTGGACTGCTCGAACTGACCCATTTTATAACACTTCCATTGCATTCGAGGAGATTAGGGAGCAAGATGACCCGACGGAGGTAAGGTTCAATGCACTGAGTTCCCCTAGACCATTACTGATGATGCAGTAGTATGATATTGTTGCCAACGTCGAAATTGTCGACAATATCATGAAGCTGGGCTTTTTATATTGGCCATCTTTCAGTGACATAGATGTGATACATATTGCAAATGCTTCTAAAAAGGCATTGGATTGTTTGCTGGACTCTGCGGATAAATCGGTGGAGGCCATCTCGTTGGATGGTGAGCATGTATTTCATGCCATGAAGTCTTCAGACCAGGAGTCACTGCATCACACAGAAACGTGTGTATTTGACGCTATAGAGAGACAAGCTATGGCACAGTTGAATACTCAAGCGGTGGTATCTTGGGATGGAGAATACTCTTATGGCCAGCTTACTAAATATTATACCACCTACGCAAAGTATCTTGTCGAGCAAGGAGTCAACAACGGAGATATCATTGTCGTATGTCTCGACAAATCTTGCTGGTCTGTCATAACAATATTGGCGATTCTGAAAGCAGGTGCCGTCTTTGTTGCCACAAATCCCCTTCATTCTCAGCAGCGACTCGAGAGTATAGTGAATCATTGCCAGGCAAAGCTCATCATCGTCGAGCCTAGATATTCCTCGCTTTTCGAGACGGTTGATACGCCAACAGTTGTAGTGAATAAGGAAACAGTAGAGAGGGCCCTACTTTCAACAACACTTCCAACAATTCGTGACTCTGATATAGCGACGATCGTTTATACTTCGGGAACCACTGGGTTGCCAAAGGGAATTATAATCGATCACGGCTCCCTGTGCACAAGTGTGCTCCAAGGACATGGAAAACGCTATGGATTCGACGAAGAGACTCGTGCACTGCAATTTGCTGCTTTCACATTCGACGCTTGCTTGCAGGAAATCATTACCGTTCTATCTCATGGAGGATGTGTATGTGTTCCGTCAGAGGATGCGCGTTTATCAGATCTTGGAGGTTGCATAACCCAAATGCGAGTGAATTTAGCGCTCCTCACACCAACTGTCGCGAGACTCATTAGATCTCAGGATGTCCCCTGCCTGAAAAGGATGATATTGTGTGGAGAGCCAATGTCTCGCCAAGACCTAGAAGCATGGGCGGGAACGGTTACCCTCTACAATGGATACGGACCAGCTGAAGCAACTATTTGTGTCTCCATTAGCGGTCCTCTGGACGTTTCGAATGACCCTGCCAATATAGGATACGCTGTAGATGGAACACGACTTTGGATAACTGAGGCAGCAGATTATAACCGTCTTGCCCCTGCCGGATGCATTGGAGAACTGGTCATTGAGTCACGTCAAGTCAGCCGAGGATATCTACACGATGTAGAGAAGACAAATGCCATGTTTATCAACCCTGCCTGGCTGCCGGGATGTAGGGTATATAAAACAGGTGATCTGGCAAAGAGAAACCCAGATGGAAGCCTAACATACTGTGGTCGCAAAGACACACAGGTTAAGCTACGTGGACAGCGAGTGGAGCTTGGAGAGGTTGAATACCATGTGTGCGAATGCTGGACAAATGCATCAGGGGTAGTAGCTGAGGTTATATACCCGACGGGAGAAGACAAGGCGACATTAGCTGCATTCGTCTGCACTAGCGATGCACAAAACAATGCACTCGGTGATCTCGATGCACCCGAAGAACCCAAAACTGGGTTGTCTCCGGTTTGGGTATCAAAGGAGTTCATTGAGCAACTAGAAGATCGGCTTCCATGTTACATGGTTCCGTCCATATTTTTCACAATACCTTCCGTACCCCTCACCCCGAATAAAAAGACAGATCGCCAGCACCTCCGTGATATCGGTTCCAATTTTACTAGTGAACAGCTTGCCCGTGTAAGCGATCACCAGAATAATTCCAAACGTATGCCGTTAGAAGCCAGAGAACGGAAACTGCAGCAGTTGTGGAGTTTCGTTTTGAATATCGACAGGAGCCAAATAAGCTTAGACGATAGCTTCTTTCGCTTGGGTGGGGATTCAGTCTCAGCAATGAGGCTGGTGACAACTGCAAGGAAATCTGGTATTAACCTGACAGTAGCAGACGTATTCCGTCACCCTCATATCGATGAACAGGCCAGGATTGCATCTTCATCCTCCAACAATATTTTGAAGACTCTGATAGGCAAGCCGTTTGCACATATCCAGAGAAAGGACTTGGAGAGAGTTGTTTCTTTGGTAGGGCTTGGTCCATACGCTAATATTGCGAGTGACATCGAAGATATCCTTCCAGCGACAGATTTACAGTCATTTTATGCCTCACGCATAGCTGAAGCTTCAAGGGACGCATTAAATTATTTCTACCTGAGATTTGACAACACCCCTGATGTCACCAGGTTGCGTCACGCTTGTCAAAGCATTGTCGACCAATTTCCAATATTGCGTACAATATTCATACCGACTCAAGGCAGGACTTATCAAGTTGTCATTCGAAGGCTTCAGGTACCTTTAGAGATTCACAACAGCGTGAAGAACTTAAGCAAGGCAAGTGACCTATTTTGCCTCCAGGATCTGGAAAACAAAATCATTTCAGGCTCGCTATTCTTATCTTTCACACTGATTCGACATGCGATATCTGGGTCTCAACTTATCATCCGTATGTCCCACGCACAGTATGATGGCATGTCGTGGCCATTAATTCTTCGATGTTTCCAAGAATCATATGCTGGAGTTCCACGGAGCCCAACTCAGTCGTTTTCAGGTTTCATCTCATACACCATTGGGAAAGTGAGTGAGTCAAGGAAATACTGGACAAATCTTCTCCAAGGGTCACATGTGACGCAAGTTTCCGCTAAATTTACGATGGAAACCCCCTTGCAAAGGGTGGAGAAAACCCATGTTGAAAAAACAGTGGAGTTGCCAATCCCGCCAAAGGGCATCACTGTCGCGTCACTCGTGAGTTCAGCATGGTCACTTGTCCTCAGACAAATAACAGGCAAGAGGGACGTTGTATACGGGTTTGTCGTTGCTGGGCGAAACATCGGTATGCCACAGATACAGGAGGTTGTTGGCCCATGCATGAACACAGTTCCTGTCAGAATATGTTTCAACTCTATGCGGACAACAATAGATCTCCAGCGCCATACAATGAATCAGTACTTTGCCATGGGAGATGCCGATTCTTTGGGTTTCCAGGATATTGTGGAGAACTGTACCCAATGGCCAAGCGGTACCAAGCTTGACACATTACTTCAGTATCATGACATTGACGAAACTCCAGTGGTTACATTGAGCGGTGGCCCGGATTCGGAACCCTGCAGTGCACAGCTAGACTGGTTCCGAAAACCATACGCCGCACCCACAAACATTGAGGTATCTGCTCGTCCAAATGGCAAAACACTTGGAATCACGGTCTCTAGTGATGGCAGTTTGCTAAGCACTGAGTCTGCCACGGCAATCCTGACAATGTTCGAAAGATCTATTAGAATACTTTCTAACGGTCGTGCAATTCCGTTGGATTCGATCAATCTTCTCGCTGTTGCAGCCCGCCGGAACCAGCCCAAGATTCCCGATCTCTGTCCGCCAGCTTACTTAACATTTCAGCTGTTGAGTCTGATGCTTGGATCATGAATCTCCTATAATATCTATTTAGTAGAAGGGTGGTTTGTCTTTTGTTTGACGTTGTCGTTGACATGCAGTTGGCTGAGGTTGAAACTTTCAGCACGTTTCCTCGCGCTAGAAACACATGACACCAGCTTATGTAACCCAATTCAGCCGACTAATTGCTAAGCGCGCGGTTGACAAATAAAATTATATTAGTGAAAAGGGAGTTCTTATTGGTCTAAATCGTTAATTGGTCGACAAGTGAGTTTAAAATGTATTCAGCTGATTAAGACAATTTTCTGCACCGTACACACCCGCTAGTCATCGCTTAACGTTGTATCATATTTCGCAAACCCATGCCCTCGCTCAAGGCCATATTAGGAAAATGATGACTTTTCTTATGCAGGAAGAGCTCAAGCCGAGTGCTCGCTCGCCTTTCTTGATGACACCATGCCCAAGGTAATATGGAGAGAAGAATGAGAGCCAACCACTACTATTAGAGTTAAGTATGAAATCACAGAGCATACCACTAGTATTATTGCAGTTATCAAAGGCTTAAAGTATCCGATTCGACAATACCCATTGAGAGTCATATACCCATCCCTCGAAGAATTCCCTTCACTTGACCGGATCAGCATAGCCGAGTTGGCGGATAAGGTGGAAATAGCAGCTGGGATGTTCCCTGCGAGCAGTCTAATGAAGAGGAGTACCAAGACACGTATGGGTATATCGGAAGCAATATCGCTCCTGCAAGTTACTTGTATCTGCGGGCAATGGGTCTAATTGCTTGATGGAAACGCATACTCTGTACTCCGTACCAGCCAGTACTCATGCCAATCAATGTGATCCTCGTAATAGCCGAATTTCTGGAGATTCTTCGCTTGTACCACTAACTAGCTAATCACAGCAAAAAGAAACACTTAGCAAATTCCTTTAGCATAGCCAGGCTGTGCTTACTAAGATGGCCTGCAAAAAGGCGCGTTCTGGGCTTGCTGCACCTAGCCTACGGTGGAAAATTCCAGCCCCAAAGGACAACTAGCCAGGGTGAAACAGGCTATTGACGAGCTGAGAGTGAGGCGCTCCCGTCACAGCCCCGGATTACGTGTAGTTAGGCCATTGGAGAGTGCTATCTCGCTCTAGGCCGTTTGATAATTGAGGCCCTTGTTCGGGGAGAAAAGGTGTTAAAGGCACCGCCGTTCCTGGCTCGCCCTCAGCTGGAAGTCTTTCAGGAAGGGTGACTTTACTCGCACCTAGGCAATGAGCAAATCAAGGCATTTGCCATAGCAGATAAACCCCTAAGCCTCTACGATGCTGTTTTACCAGTCAATTCTACTCCTCTGTTCCTGGGTTTCGGAAGGATGCCTCAATCAGCAAGCTCCTCTGGATCTCGGTTCTCGTTCCGTATACCACCCGAGTACTGCCTTCGAAGAGAAGGTTAGTTGGGCTTTGGAGCAGTTTAAAGTACCGGGCTTTGCAATATCGTTCATAAATGGCAGTAGAGTATTCACAAAAGTCAGCAATGTCCCTTTCACTTTTCTTCTACCCATTCCAACCTTATTCCGCAGTATCAAGGTCGAAATTTTGGCTGCTTAGATCTTCATAGGGGTATGGTGTTGCAGATCTTGCTACCTCACAGCCGGTGTCAGAACACACCCTCTTCTTTGGTGGGAGTACAACGAAAGCCTTTACAGCAGCGTTGATATCAATTCTTGTGGACGACAACGAGAACTTCCCGGAGATACAATGGGACGCAACGGTTCACAGCATTATTCCAGACGATTTCACCCTGAGTGATCCATGGTTTACTACGCAAGTTACGGTCGAGGATATGCTCTCACACCGGTCTGGCATGCCACGCCATGACTGGGTCTGGTTTGCCAACATGACACTGCAGGAAGCTGTGAGGAAGATGAGGTACCTTCCACTTACATCGACTATCCGTACAAAGTTTAACTACTGCAACTTGATGTACATGGCTGCTGCTCATTTGATCGAGACTAAGACGGGGCAACTGTTTAAGGATGTACTGCGCGAGCGTATCCTAGAACCTCTAGGGATGACAGAAACATACGTTTCTTTGTCTGATGCCCAGGCTGCTGGTGGAGAAATCGCACGAGGGTACTTTCTCAATTCAACGGGACAGCTACAAGATACGGACTTATCGTTCCATGAGAGTATCAGAGGTGCAGGAAACATCATTACTTCAGCAGCGGATTATGCAAAGTGGGTTCAAGCAATGATACAAAGAAGTCCGCCAATTTCACCTGTAGGGTATGCTGCCATTATGGGTGGGCACACTATCATATCTCCTGAACCAATGGCTCCCGATACATCCCCGACCTTGTACGGGTTTGGATGGTTTTTGCGTACATATGCTGGAGAAGTGATAATTCAACACCCGGGTGGAATCGAAGGGTTTGGCAGCCTCGTGTGTTTCCTACCTAGAAAGAGGATTGGATTTGTTATCCTAGGCAACAATATGATAGGGACAAACGCAGCTGTCACATTGCTTGGAAACCATTTAATCGACGATATTCTCGGAATCCAGGAAAGACACCGTCCAAATTGGCGAAAGAGGTAATTTCATGCAATAACCTATCCACAAACCATATAAATGTCCAGAATTACTTACCGATGTTGTAATTTTATAGAGCCGAAGCCACACTGGAGAACACCAAGATTTCTCCGCGAGTCTTGGATGATCTCTATCCACGCATCCCTAGCCCGCCTCTTCCTCCTCCATTGAAACTATCAGAATACGAAGGAACCTATATACACCCTGCCTATCCAACACTGAAAGTAACAACTGACTGCCCCAGCCACTCACTTTTCCCTAAGATGTCCGGCAAACGAAAGCTAGGGCCTTATCGTCTCTGTGCCAAACCCTTACACAGCGCGTTCGGCAGTTCAGCACTGGTTCTGGAACTCAGACATGTCACGGGTGATTTCTGGGTAGTTGGGACGTTGATGTACGGTGCCACTTCAGCCACGAGAGGGAAATTCGTCCTGAGCCCAGAGGGAGCTATCAATCAGATTTCCATTGAGATGGAGCCGACTATGGCGTTAGAGCATAAGGGTATACATTGGAAGAAGACGACTTAGCCATACCACTATGCTACTCCGAACATGCAAATGCACTGTGGAGGAGGTATATCAGCATATACTAAGTATTTAGCGGCCCTTGGGAAATATATAGCCTGGTTAACATTGGACAATGGTTTCGATAGCCAGAGAATATATTGAGTATCAGTTTAAATAGGATTCTCTGTATTTTCTAGATAGTCAACTAGTTAACCGGGCCTACGGCAGGGAGAGGCAAAGAGGCTTGCCCCAGTTACGGAGTATTTGTGGGGCTTTCTAACTAGTTAGTTATTGTGGCTTGGCTGGGCAATCTTCACTAGTTTCTTTTCTGCCACACCAAGTTGTTTCAACTTCCAACGCCCATCACACATCACAACGAAGCATCGTTTACTCCGCGGCTGCTCAATGGATGCTCGTATCCTAATTATCATAATACTAAAGATCAAGTCGAAAATCGTTATAAGATTCTCTCTTTTCGGGCGCGCCCTTAACAAGTCTCGCCCTTAACAAGTCTCGCCGTCGCGGTTTCGCGGAATTCAGATCTCAGTCCTTGGGTCCCCAGGCCATTAACTACGTGATCTCTCGCTGCAATTCTATTGAATGAGTGGATGTCCTGCTCTTACACCATCTCAGAGATTGTGGAATACCAGACTTTCTAACAGAGAGCGTAAACCAACAATGTGCAAGAAGAACTAGGATAATAGCGCCTACACAGCTCCATCTGGACTACCCGAGTTGGACTACAGGCCGAGCAAGCGAATTCATATAATAGCTCCAATTACTCCGTACGATGGCCAAAATAGCCGATATACAAAACTGAGGGCTTTACCATATACCCGGCCATCCTCTTCAAGACATTATGATTTATGCAGCGCTTAATCAAGGCCAAAAATTCAGTTTTGGCGCCTATACATAACTAACCAAGATTGTGGCTGCATATCTCTGGCTCAAACACCATCTGAAAAATGAGTGATCCCCGGCTCAGTTCAAATAACATCTACGTCACAGTAACTCACGCTTTAGCTCACTTACTTGGTTCAAACCTCCCGGACTTAAATTCTTCTTGTTTCCATGGTTATTGGGACTACCCACCAATAGCCCTCTTTTGCACCAGAAATTACTGACGTAACTAACCCAATATTCAGTCTTACCACACATCTATTGCTCTCTAATATATTTCACACATCATCGTGAGTCGCCGACGTGCTGTGGCGCTCGATTTACAAGAGCAAAGACAAAAGTTAAATTGCCCCAAGCGAGATTTACCACTGCACGGTGACTTTGCTCAGATTATTTATGGACGCTACAAGAAAATTGCAGAAAACCCTATGGTTGAGCCACGGCTTTACCTAACCCCATTAACTAAGGAGTTATATCTAAGGCAGCTCATTGCTAATAAAGTTATAACTTCGATAGGTGTTTGACTACCCATCAAACTGCTAACCCAAAAAGCGAGGAGTATGTCATTCCAAGCCTGGTCAATAGCAGAGTCAATGACGTCAAAGGCTCGAAAAGATATATCAAGAGCGCAATCGCCCATTATGCCCAAAAAAAATATATCTCACCATTTATTCATATCACTATATGGATCGCCTACTACAGCTGTCACAAAACTACCGCCGAGAGAAATACAAGGACCACAAAAGTACCACGAAAAAGACCTACCAAGATTTAACTCATTGACCTGCATCAAACCGTTGAACCAAAGAGGTAAGTAAGCTTATCGGTTGATGGGAAGAGAATATACCTCTTTATTAACTATTGTTTAACAGTAACAATGGACGCCTGTATCCGAGTGGTACTGCAGATACTCATGTTACTGTGGCCTACGTTCTCAAGGACCACCAGACCCCAGGCTGCTCAACCTCAGGCTACTAAATCCCAGGCTGCTAAATCCGAGGCCGCTGAATCCGAGGCCGCTGAATCCGAGGCCGCTGAATCCCAGG